TTTTCAAATGTTTGGCTTGCCATACTAGGGGACGATTTTGAAATGCTTAAATGAAATTTACTCGATTCATTTTGCTGGAAGTGGAGCAAAAACTGGAAATTTCTTTGCCCAAAGCATTTTCGATGTTCTGTTATGAGAAACAAAATAATTTTGGGCTCTTATCTTCTTCAACTTATAATCAAATCAATTTTTTCTTGATTTTTGTTTCAATTTATGAATATATTAAGTCCATGTTTTTTTGCTTCGATTTAAATTTTTACAGACATTTAATTTCTTCGATTTTCATCCAAAAATCTCTAATGGGAACAAAACTCTTTTTTGTTTTGACAGTCTGTTACTTTCCTGGTGAAAACAAACAAAAACTAGCTTTACTTTGGAACAAATCGCCTAATTGTTCCGTTGCGAGTTGCACTCTCCTGGTTGGGCTTGAACCACCAACTTTCATTTTAACAGCCGAACGCGCTAGCCGATTGCGCCACAAGAGCAGAACGGCTGTCTAATCTCCTAGAAATCAATCATGTAAGTAAATGGACATATGTGCAGGTGAATTGACATCAAAAGCATTTCTTTTTTCAAATGTTTGGCTTGACATACTAGGGGACGATTTTGAAATGCTTAAATACAATCTACTCGATTCATTTTGCTGGAAGTGGACCAAAAACTGGAAACTTCTTTACCCAAGGCATTTTCGATGTTCTGCTATGAGACAGAAAAAAAGTTTGGGCTCTTATCTTCTTCAGCGTATAATCATACCAATTTTTTTCTTGATTTTTGTTTCAATTTATGAATATATTAAATCCATGTTTTTTTGCTTCGATTTAAATTTTTACAGACTTTTAATTTCTTCGATTTTCATCCAAAAACCTCTAATCGGAACAAAATTCATCTTTGTTTTCACAGTCTGTTACTTTCACGGTTAAAACAAACAATAGCTTGCTTTCTTTGGAACAAAATGTTTAATTACTCCGATAGGAGATGCACGCTCCTCGGAAGGTTTGGTCCACCAATCTTTCGATATACAGCCAAACGCCCTAGCCGATTGCGCCACAAGAGCTGAAGATATGTCTAATCTCCTTGAAACCAATCATGTAAATAAATGGACGTTTGGAAGGTGAATTGACATCAAAAGCAGTTTCTTTTTTCAAATCTTTGGCTTCCCAAATTAAGGGGACGATTTTGAGATACTTTACTGAAATTTACTCGATTCATTTTGCTGGAAGTGGACCAAAAACTGAAAATTCTTTACACAAGGTATTTTCGATGTTCTGTTATGAGAAAAAAAAGGAATTTTGAGCTCTAATCTTTTTCACCTTATCACCAAACCAATTTTTGTTGATTGTTTTTCAATTTATGAATAGATTAAGTCCATATTTTTTTGCTTCGAATTAAACTTTTACAAACATTTATTTTCTTCGATTTTCATTCAAAATCCTCTAATCGGAACAAAACTCTTCTTTGTTTTCACAGTCTGTTACTTTCACGGTTAAAACAAATAATAGCTTACTTTTCTTTGGAACAAAATGCCAAAGTGATCCGTTGGTAGTTTCAGTTTAAAATTCAGTAAGATTCAGTAAAAACCAAATAAAGAAAACGTGTAACTAAAAATTGAAAAAAGATAGTAGCAAAAGAAAAATCTTTCCAAAAAAAACAACTGAAAGTTCAAAGATTATTTATGTTTTCAACTCCATTTCAACAAAAATGTGTATAATCGAATCTAAATTATCAGAGCATCCGCTCAAATGAAAAAAGTATAATTTAAGAAAAAAAAACGTATCGTTTATTTCACATTCCTTTCAGGAATGGTCCAAAGGACGAGTATCCCGGGTTGACCTCCATACACCGAAAATGTTTATCATACAATTAAATTCCATACAACAAAAATCATTATCAGACAATTCCATACATCAAGTAGAGAAAATTCTTGTCATACAATTTTCATACAATTTCGAAAAACAATAGAAAAAAAATTAAACCATTTCTGCGGCTTTTTGAGAACAGTTGAACTGACTGGTGACAAAAAAAAACTGATTTGAAATTTTTTTGAAAAAATGCTTACCATACAATTTCCATAAAAGAGACAAAATTTTTGAATATTTTTGACAGTAGTTTTGAAAATTTGCCCCAAAAAAAGTTTTTCAACCGCAAATCGAATTTTGTACGAAAACAAACCATTTCCGAAAAAAAATTTTTGCATGCAAAATTTAATTTTTTGTGTGCATAACGTAGTCCTGGATACGATAATATTGGCTTTTTTTCTTTTCACTTAATTTTTTTTCAAAAACGCCGCTGAAAATTCCTATTTAGTTTGTATGACGTGTTTATGTATGCCTTGATCAATGTCTGATAATTTGAAAGTTCAAAAATATTAAAAAATCATCCATGAAAATGCAAGACCGTCCAAACTTTGGTGCTTTGAGTAAACAAGGTCTTTGTCACTCGTGTTCGGTTGAAAACACAACCAAAAATTTGTCAGAAAACAAATTTAGCAACAAAAAACATGTTTTTGGCTTATGGAGAAAACACCTATCATACAATTTCCATTTATGGGAAAATGTTTATCATAGAGTTTTCATAAAATTTTCTGTACTTATGGAATTGCATGAAAATAAATTTCCCATTTATGAGAATTGTATGATAAGCACTTTTGGTCAACCCGGGATACTTATACTTCAAGCTACTGAGGCGGCGCAATCATCTAGCGCGTTCGGATGTTAACCGAAGAAATGGTGGTTCAAGCCGAGCCCTGAAGCTTGTTTCTCACAAAAAAATTTTACTCATTATGGTCCAATGTAATTTAAACTTCTGTTTTTTCTGCCTTTTAAACCATCTGCATCTAAAAACTCAACCGGTTTTAATTAAAAATTCCAAGAAAAACAAATATTTGTAACTTTTTGAAACGAGAGAGAACCGAAAAACGCTGACAAAATTCAAATCTGAAAACTTGTACTGGGACTAGATTTTGCTCATGTTCAAAAATTTCAATTTTAAAAATGAATATCCATAATTGTGATCCATAGAAAAGTGGGATGCAAATTATAAAAAAAAAATTTTACCCAACTCACAAATCAGTAAAAATAGCCAACTCTCACTTTAAAAGCTTTTAAATTAATTTGAAAACACGGACGACATTAGCGTTTTGGAATTTTAATCACAAATCCCTGTTTGAATTCATAAGGTTTGGATGCCTATAATTTCAATCTTCAAGGGCATCATTGAGTTTGATGATGCCTTATCCCGAGCTGACAAGAAAAACTTTTACGAACTGAATTTTAACGAAATTTGAAACTGAAAGAAAAAAAAATTGCATAAAGATTGATTTTTAACCCAAAGGCGCAGCTGAACTTCGCAACAATTGCGATACAAAAAAAAACAAACGGAAACCAAAACGGAAATCAAACGGAAAAAAATTAGAAAAAACTTCCAAAAAATTGTTTTTGTCATTAAAAATTGAAACAAAAGCCCAAAATGTCCTAAAAATCGTGTAGCATCGACAACTATATAAGGAGTTTCCGGAATAGTTGAAAGAAACCGAATATTCAGAAAATTCCTTTCCGCGGAATTAAGCCGACAGAAATCAGCAAACGCACAATAATCTAGGCAAAAAACAGGTGCAAAATGACAGGCCTCAACTGCAATTGAACTCCCGGGCTTTGTGGTCTCAAGCATAGGGTTACAGCAACTTCAAAGAAAGCTGAACTTTCAAAAAAAAGTCGGGCTACAGGAACTAAGACGACAAAAATATACAGACGGACGATAGTCAGTAAGAGCATACTCTAGTTTACAAAAAAAGAGGTCCCGGCCGGATTCCAACCACAAGCCTTTGCCGTCTCAAGCAGTGGTCTTACCTCTACAATAATAGCGACGGACGTTTGATTCAATTTGAACATAAAATTGCTGATCGCTAACAAAGCCGAAAATACTTGAGGAGCAGACCCCTTAAAACACGAAAAAAAAACTTTCAAGCTAGAAAAAAATTTTGCAGTCCCTATTTCACCCAGAACACACATACGCACACAAAAAGTTCGATCCTCAAACATTGCAAAAGCTGGCCAATAAATTGATATTCAAAAATCCGAAACCGATTAAGCAAAAAAAAAAAAACTAAACAAAAACTAAAAATTAACAAATCGAGTTGATAAAGTTCTATGTAAAAATCTAACTTCAATCAATGTAAAAATCTAACTTCGACTCGGCCGAATTTTTAAAATGCTAGAACACTGAAGCAACTATTATGAAAAAAATTTTACAGCAAAACGAATTATTGTTAGATATGGCAACAAAGCCGACAAAACATTCGCAGACAAATATTAAAACGACAACTTTATTTGAAACTGAAAATTTCCATTTGAATTAAAAAAGTTCCTGGTCAGATTCGAAAACAGGACCTTGCCGTCCCAGGTATATTCGTTACTTTCAGGCTCAGTCCGAGTGGACACTATGAAACTTGAATTCATTAAGAACCAAGGTACCAACAGGAGTCCAGATGAGTCCTGTAAGCAAAGTTTTTGTACGGAAAAAAAGTCTAGTAACCGATTGCAGTACCCTTGCTTATCGCAAGGGTCAATAGTTATGGATCAAAGTTTTTCTTAACCTTTTAAGTACTGGGCAACTAGGTAATTGTTGCTTGGCTGCTCACCCAGAATGCGTACGCATAGTCGTAATACATTTAGCTGTTTTAAACATGGCTTAGACTGACAAAATATAGTTTTTTTTAAATGCTTAATCGTGGTAACGCACACTTAATTATAACAAGATACGTGTCACACGCATTCAAACATAATAACGATTGGAGATATAGATAAAAATCTTTCCATCCATTCAATAACTTTTAATTTTTTGCAGGTGAAGTCTACATTTTATCAAAAGTTTTTTTCTGAGCTTTCGAAAGAACATTTTTTGTTTAAAAACCCAGTAAAGCTTTCGTCAAAAATTAGAGCTTACGTTTTTCGATAACACCCACTTACTTGTCAAATGGTCCTTTACATGACAATGATGCTTACATTGATGGGTAAGTTGAGTTCTCTGATGACGTCATCGAACTTGTTCATGAGAGTCTGAGGGGAGGTGTTGCCCTTTTCGATGCCAGCCTGATTCGTGAAGAAAACTAGCTTCACTCCTATTTTCTGTTCATGCAGTTTCTTAAGTGTTTCAGGGACACTTGGAAGCAGGAACTTCCAGTCGGAGGCGCCTGAACATTTCAAAGTGTTAATAGAGTGAAATTCATTAAACAATGAGAATGCTCACAAAATCTGATTTGATTTTCAAAAAATTTTGAGCTTGCACGCATGATGAGGTCCAGTACTGATCCTTTGTTATGCTCTTGCTCGTTTTACCCTCAATAGAGTCCAGAACTTGCAGAACGAAATATACCATAAATTTTAGACACAGATTAGATAAAATTCTTCTTGAAAGGTAAGGATCCGGATTAGCTCAATTCGAGTATACAGTGCTGATTTAAATTATCTGGACAAAACTTGAATTTTCAAATGCGTTCTTCTCAAATTGGGTTAAGATTAGACGAAAAGCGAACAGAACAATAGTTGCTTAGAATTTTATCAGAAATAATATGGTGCACGTTTTTCTCCGAAATTCTCAACGAAAATTATACTCAAAAAAAATTAGTCATTTTGGCTTTCTTCAATTATTCAAGAATTACGTTGAAACAACTTCGTTCATGGATGAGAAATATATATCACAAAAAGCCTCGTACATATCACAACAAAGTTCTTCAATGTTTAAATCTCCAAAAACCTTTATAAGAGAGAATATTTTTGCTTGATAGTCAAGAAATGTGATTTTTACGATAAAAAACCCAAAATTTTTTGCTTTAAACAAATTTTAAACAATTTTCGCAAATTTTTGGAGCTAAAAACCTTCTAGAACTTTGTTGGGCTATGTAAGAAGCATCTTGTGACATATATGTCTCATCCATGAACAAAGTAAATTCAACCCTAATTCTTGACTAATTATAAAACCAAAATGACCCATTTTTGGGTAAAATTTTAATTGAGAATCTCGGAGAAAAAATACTGATGAAAACCTAAGCAACTTTTGTTCTCTTCACTTTTTGTCTAATCTTAACCCAATTTTCTTTGTACCTGTAATTTCTTCATGGCGGCTTTTAAAAAAAGCTTTTGTCCTATTACAATACCTATTCGCTCGCTTCACTCGCTCTAAAAAGACTACAAAGCAAAAACGTCAAACCAGTTTTTCTCAACACCGAGAGAATTTTTTCTAGAAATTGTTAAGGTAGTTCTGCAAGGGCTTGAATAGGATACCTCACAACTGCATGGGCTTGAATAGGATACATAAGTCGACCTTCTCTGATGATAGCTTGTGATATCTATATTTGCAAAAAAAATTGAAAAAAAAATCAATCAAAAAAACTTAATCATAAAAAATAATTACAACTCAAAGAAAAAAAAAATTAAAAAAATATATTAACTTTAAGACAAACTTTTTACACCTTCAATGGTCGGAACAATTAAAATTACAACGGACTCCTAAATATAATTCCACACTCAAACACCTAACAAGTTTTATTGAGGATGACTAGAAGCGCGAAAAAAACGGGGATGTAGCGACTTGCATGCGTGCCGCTTAGCATGCACAATTTAAGTAATTTCTCACTTTGATGCGGTACGCAGTTTAAGTTTTAGTTGCAAATGCGAGTAGGCAAACTCAGTTCTAATTGCGCTAATGGGGCCTAGGAAATTAGATGATAAGCAAATTAGACGGATGCTACAAAAACGAAATAAGGCGAAATTTTTTTTGTACAGATCTGGCACTTTAGACGTCACAGCTATGAAAAAAAAGCCAACAAATTTTTTTCTTAAGAACCAAGTTTCACAAATACAAAAAGAACATAAAATGACAATACCTATCAAAACAATTAGTTTAAATTAACATAAAATGTCAAATCCGAATATTACAGGAAAGTTTCGAATTGAATAAATTATGCATGATTGACATGTAAAATTTTTGGCCACCGAAATTTAACTGTTGTCTGCAAGCCATTTTATTTTTCTCACTCAATTTTTCTGCAAACAATTTTAATCTCTCTTACTTTCGTCTATTTTCTCACAACTGCAGTTTTGCAAAATCGTCTAATTTAAGTGCATCCGTCTAGCTTGCTTATCGTCTAATTTCTCAACCCTCTGCGCTAATAGCCATTAATGCTATACGGCACGCAAGCTTGTAGGCCGGTCCCTCTATTCCCCCCACCAAAAAAAAACAGCAGCAATTACCAATTACTTTTTGCGAACTTAGCTCCACTCTTCGGCGTGATAATCGTGTCGTCTATGTCGAACCCATAGATCACAGGAGAGTTGGCCGAGTTAGGGTCCCTCCTGAACAGAAGAGGCTGCAACCCCTTGTCCTTGCCCCCCAATAGTTTCACATGATAGCTCCACTGAATTCCACCTTTCGGCTGTTTTGTTGGGGGCTGAAAAAATAGGACGAACTTAGAAGAAGAGAGTCCAACGAAATCAGAATATATTACGTGAAGGTAAACCTACATTTACCAACCAAGAAAAATACCAAAAACTGGTTGTATGTCTTAAAGAGGTGCAAAAACGCGTCTCTCCGTAAAACGATAAATGGTTGATCCCCTTTTGGTTCTTTTTTCTAACAGATAAATGTTCGCTTATGAATGATAGGACAGAAAAATTGAGACTACAATTTAAGTTGATTCGGGCTGCTTCATCATGCAAAACAAAAACAGAAAGCAAGGTACGCTACGTAAACAAACAAAACCTAATGCAACAAGGATAGTCAGTTACTGTACAAGTAGCACAGAATGTTCCGACCGTAGTCTAAAAAAACACGAAAAAAGTTTTTTCAAATTAGCGTCTTTTTTTCTGCGTGGTGTGATAAAAGTATCTGAACGAAAAAGTAGAACTTAGGCATATTCGACAGTCATAGTAAGACAGGCAAAATAGGAAACACCTTTAAAAGAAAAATTACAGAAAACGAAAAAAAACTAAAATAAAAAAATAAATACAATTTTTTTTGAGAAAATTTTCGAATTATTGAAGTTTTTTATTCCTAAGATGGCACTAAAAACTCTTATGGCTTGATTACTAATAAAATGGCTTGATTACAAAAACGCGATAACAATCTAAAATGATAACAATCTAACGTGATAACAATCTTGAACCAGTGCAAAGTTTCCTCGAGTCACCCTAAAGAGAAGCGAAGAAACACTAACTAGATGATCTAAGTTCCTTGGACGAAACAAAAACAAAAATAAGACCAAACTGCTTTTCCCTTCTTCAACTCTATGTTTGATAAATCAGAAAACTGAAAGTTTTGAAACAAACTACCGATTCTGGTATCATGGTTGCATTCGAAGCTTCAGAGTTGCCAGGACTACTGTTCGGTGAAGTGGTGTTGGTGGATTTTCTCTTACTTCGAGGGGGCATTTTGCTGAATATTTTTCCACTTCTAACTAAATGAATGCGCACAAGAAGATACAGCTTTGAAAACAACAAAGAATCAATTACTGGCAAACTTAAGTAGCTCCGTTTTTCGGCAATGTCTTATCTGAAAACAGTGCAAAACATTCATAATTTTATTTTCAGGAGAGCCATGAAGCTACCATTGATGCCCTTGTGAAACAAGGGTTTTACATGCTAAAAGTTTATTCAAATAATAATTGTATCACCTTAAATGAGAGGTCAGGTCATACTATTACACTTTTTAAGTCCGTTCTTAAAATAAGTCTATTTCGTATAATAGTTTCTCCAAGGACCAAAAAAACTTTGGTAAAATTGGTTACCGCAAGCTTTACTTCAAGAGCAGCGGATTTTAATAAGGGCGCGGGGGGGGGTCCAATATGCAACTCAAACATGAATAGTCAAAGTCTGCACAGGTGCCATGAAAAAATCTGACCTTGCTCTTCGGTCGAAGTTTTCAGCCGTTTTTCTCGACTAAGAGAATTTTTTCAAAAATTTTCCCAAAAAATCAATTCAAGAGAGAAAAGGCCTTAATATGATTTATGGCTCTCACCTTCTCATGTTTATTTGTGTACCTAAATTTGTGCGGAAAAAATTCCTCAACTTACAGAGCCCAAAATTCCTCAACTTACAGATTCCTCAATTCGTGTCAGTGCTCAAACAAAGCAAATTTTGGTCCCATATAAAAAATTGCGGATCTACTTAACAATCTCCGCCTTTCAATAAAAGTGGGGAGAGATTGTTCAGTAGAGCAAGTAAGTGGAATTTTCGACCAATCAGAATGCAGCAAAATTCGAATTAAAACTACAACACTCTTGGTTCCATAGGTAAGAGATTGTTAAGTAGATCCAAACTTGCTCTCTGGAGTAAATACACTGCGAGTTTATGAGATGAGTCGAAAAAATACTTGGAATTGCCACAAAAACAATCTCTATAATTCATTACACGAGTAATCAATCAGATTTTTCATCAAAGTACTTCAGCGTAAACGAAAGACTCAAAGATCGTAACAAATATTAATTTTACAAAGCAAAAAAATTCTACATGAATTGCGACATGAAATCGTACTTTAGTCCAGGAGTCCAAGACATATACCTTTTCTTATTTTATTCACATAATATATCAGCTATCACCCAAAGACAACTTGTCATTTATTTATTTACAGGCGGGTTGCCTAACGGCTAATTTATTCTGCCTCGGATATTTAGTTAGAGTTAACACAGAAGATAAGAAATAATAGAAGAAACATTTTATCATTTGGTGGTCTTCTTACATAATGCAATCGGAATCTGATCAAATTTCAGAGTCCCGAAAGCTATAAACTATTTCTGAGAAAATAATCCCCGACAAATGAGCCGCCGCCTCTATCCCGACCTCTCTCAAGAACTAGAATTGAGCAAACGATTCTTCATAAAAGTAAGTAACCTGCTAGAAATTACGTCGTATTAGTACGGCCATCCCTTGCTGCTTTCGTTGAAAAAAAAAGACGAACAGAGTTAAGAGAGAGAAGAATTCATGAACGCAAGGAAACAGAAATGAAAATATTGACTTGTTTTTTTAGAAGAAAATGCAACTTTCGAAGTTCAAATTTTAAAAGATGTGGCTTATATTTCTTAAAGCTTTTTGATTTTAGAAGAAAATTTATGATGGACACTTTTAGGACAAACTTAGTTTGAGAAAAATTAACCAATAAGTAAAGTTTTTATTGCGCTGGAATTCTGAAAGTTAAAATCGAAATTAGAGGTCGATCGCATTTTTGGCACCTTAAACTTTTGGTGTTCAAGAGAGGAATAGTCTTCCCTTTAAAAAAGGAAAAACTGAACTGAAAAAGAAATCATCACGATCTATATAAAAGTCATTGCTACGTTGGACGCCTCTTAAAATTATGAAACTCTTTTTATTAATAAATATTCATCAAATTATGAAAATTATGGAACTTTTTATATTACTAAAAAAATTTCGATGTTTTTGCTTAACGACAGTATAACGAGTCTCAACCTTTAACAGCAAAATGAATAGTTGAAACTTAACATAGCAGTCCGAGGAAGCTCTTGATCAAAAATTTCTGAATACTGAGACAAAACTTAACATAAAATTTGAATTCCCACTTTTCAAAACTTTTTAAAGGGAGAATCAAATTTATACCAAGCTGAAAATAAAGGCTTCATATTAGAATAGATAACAGTTTTATAAAACTATATAATATCATTGTGATAGAGGAGTCCCTATATAAACCAAGTGTGACATCAATTTCCACTAATGCATTCGTCTCTATTTGACATCACCAAGCAATAAAACGAAAAAAGTTGAGGTACTGTATTTACATTAGGGATCTGTTAGTTTTTTGGAAACGTTCTATCAAACTTGTACCAATTTAGTTCTTCGGTCTGAAAAATCAAGAAATAACAAACTTAACGCAATCTGATAGCGATTCAATGAAACCAATTTATTACACAGAGGCGAAGCTGCGCTTCGCAAACACAAGCGAGGAAAATGCGAAAAAGAGCTCTGAACAGGCAAAACAAAAAGAAATTGGGAAAAAGGAAGCATAGCCATTAGACAGTCGGAAAAGAGTAATGAACGCAAGTAAGCAGAAAAAAAACACTGACATGGTTGAAAAAATCTCAACTTTCGAACTTCAAAAATACTGATGCCCGTTAAGCTCTTTGAATTTCTAGAACAATTGACAGCATTAACCCAACTTAAGAAAACTGGATCAACAGGTTAAGTTTTTAATCTGCTGGAAATCTAAAAATTAAATTCGACTTTAGATACTAGAAATTGTTCACGTTTTTTCGCGCCATTTCTGACTTTTTGAGTTCGGATGACTTTCAATTGAACTCAAAAAGTGCATATATACCTAAGTGCATACATAAATTCATTAATATGTATGAATGCACATCTGTAGTTATTAGAGCATTTTAAGACTTTTATCTCGGAAAAAAAAAAAAAAAAATCACCAAGACCTATATAAGTTCATCACTCTTAAAAGATTAAAAATACATCGTGGGGAAAAAATTTTGCTGAGACAAGGAGCAACGCATCCTCAAATCTGCTCCTTGACCTCTTGTAATTTTACTTACACTAGCCACCAATAAAGCAGATGCAGTTTCTTATCAAATTGCCAATACTATGCAGCAAAAATTCGACCAAACAACATTTCATTAATTCCCGATTTGAACCTCCCACCTGTTGATTAGGAGTCTCACGTCCTCACATTTGCGCCACGGTTGCTTGGAGGTAAACTAGTGACCCAGCTAATGCTGGATGCACCTATTTTAATCTTTGATTGTACTGATACCAAAAAATGCATAATTTTCGAAGTTTCCAAAAAATGGACTTTACGCGAAACCCTAAAGATTTCCCTTTTTAAGTAGGGAATTAGCCGCTTATTTAAAAGAAAAAACTACTAGTCGCTCTTTCAACTGATTTCTTTATCTCAGATTTGGCTGGGTAGTTTTCAAAAAACGTCAAAAATATTCCAAGAAACGATAAAATATTGTAAAATTTGACTTGTCCTAAATCCAATTAAGTTTTTCTTATAGAGCATGGAAATAGCATCTTAAGTAGGAAAGAACTCTACACCCTGATTTTTAGATTGAACCCTTATTACAAGATTTAACGAGTTTTCGTGAAAAAAAAATTTTAATAAAATTACTACAAAAAAACGGTAATTTTTTCAAAAAATGGATTTTGTGCGATGACCATAACGGCTTTTCTACAAAAAAAGGGTGAAACAAATTACACAGGGAAAATCTAAGCACCATGTAAGCTTGATTGACGTAACAACTTCAGTAACAGCTGGTTAGTTTTTGGAGAAAAAAAATAAGTTTCCAAAACACAACGGGCAAAATTTCAAAAAATGGATTTTTTCTAAGCCCACATTTTTTCAAAACACAAGGTTAAGCCGTTTACGCACAAAAAATTCGCATATTTGGTTTTTTTTCGGTTCAACGCTTTATCTCCGATTAGGCAGGGTAGTTTTAAGAAAAGTCAAAAATTTTTAAAAATTTACCAATACTTCAAAAAATTGGCATGTTTGAGGCCATAACTTTTTTCTGCCAAATTTAGGGATCATAATGATTTGTTCTTTTGATTGTAACGTTCATCTCAGATTTGCGCATTTAAAACTTGAGAAAATGAAAAAAAAATCGAAAAGAAATAGGTCAAAAGGCCGTAGAACGTGAGGTGAAATGAAGAGAGACTAGCAAACTATGCAGTCACATGCAAAAAGCCGCCAGTTTGTCCATTGGTATCATTATTTGAAAATCGACTCAGTAGTTTCTGAGAAAGATTGAAATTTCTGCAAAAAAAGTGCAATAACTTTCCAAAGCGTCGCAAAAAAAAACATCAAATCTCATACATTTTCATTATACCTGTTATTTTCAACAGGAACTTACACTAGCCAAAAATGAAGCCGCAACATGTGCTTTTCAATTGCCTGGGGTTAAATAGACTTAAAGGTGATTAAATTGAAATATACAAAAAGTGCACTTTTATTTGCGACTTAGGTTGGACCTCATTTTCAGGGGTCCGAACAAAAAAAACGATTTATTAAATAATTTTCAGAATAATTTAGGCTACATAAACAAAGCAGAAAACTGATAGACTGTGTCCAAAACGCACCATATTTAGTACACGCAAACTGAACCTGAAGAAAATCAAACACAGAGGCAAACTAGCCGACAGACAATTGGCCGAAAACAGAGACTTCGAAAAATGTCAAGAAAATTAGATCTACCAATAATTTCGATTGATCACCATTCGAGAAAAATAAATGCCAAATAAGACAATTGAATTTCAAATAAGCACTAGCACAAATCTTCGAAGCGATAAAACAGACTCCATTTTTGCCAAAAAAAAGTTCTAAATAACTTTCAAAGTTTGTGAGCCTAAAAAACTTCTTTCGCTTATCAAACATAGCAATTTGAGCCCACTGCACTGAGAGCATACATGCCAAAACTTTTAACGACGAGTAAAACATAAAGATATTGAAATTATTGAAAATCCGAGTTGGTAAGTTTACAATCAAAAAAACAAAAACAAAAACAACTTTAAATACAACGGGTTTTTAAGATGCAAACATGCTAAAATTTTGTCTTTTGGTTAAAAAAAAAACATTTTTGAGAAGATTATTCACCGATTCTGTAATCTGTTACACGGGCTTTTTTCACTTGAAAAACTCCGTTAGATTTGATAACGCTTGGTAATCGAAAGCGTAAACACCCGAATGCAAAATTTCCCCACTCAGTGCTAACAACTCCGAAACAATTACCAAACAAATCAAAAATGCAAGCAAAAGATTACAAACAACGCAACGATATGTGGTGCAAAATCAGCGATTGGATTTAGTATAAGAGTAGCGCTAAAAACTTTCAAAAAATGCTTTGATTGCAGAAGTTACGAATATATCACTAAGCAACCTTTCCTGTCGCATACCAGATAGACATCACAACAAAATGGAATTTTTTAAGAGTCTATTTGACCTCCATATCCTTTGAACTGCGTAATAAAAAAACTCGAAGCAAACGACAACCCTCAAAAAATACAATTCAACTTAAATGCAACCGCCCAAAACATAACAAAAAAATTACATAAAAAACTAACAATTAAATTTAAAAAGGAAAGCCGGTTGCTGTGCAAGTAGCACGGAATATTCAGACCACTTTCATAAAAAAAACTACAAGATAAATTCTTCGAATTAGTGTCGTATCTTGTGTGTGGTTTGATGAGTAACTTTACGCACGCGTAGAAACTTGGTAAATCAGGCATTTGCTAAAATTCAGGACAAATGCATTTTAAATAAGTTTTAAATGAGGCTGAAAAAAATAACGCAAAAATGTTTGAGCGTGCCCAGTTCTCGCGTACTCAAACAAAATCGTTTCAAATTGAAATGAGGCGAGCTAATTGGTCATAATCATTACCTACAAAACTTAAAACAAAACACTGAACTATTTTTATGGCTGTTGTGCGACAAAAAAAGTTCAAAATCAAAGTTTATCAAAACTTTATGTAGCAAAACTATTGTGAACTACTTAAAAAGCAGTCAGAACATCCAAGGCTTTGCCCTGAGACACGACCAGTCGTGTGCTTATTATACTACGCATACAAACGTTGCAGATATAAATCAGGTTGTGATATTAGATGGTTGAAAAGGCGGAAGATTGTTTTGGCCAAAACAATTTACTGCTTAAGTTCTCTCGACATCTTAATTTTTGAGCCTCAAATCTACCAAGTTTTTCATCGGATTATTGAAAATTTAGTAAAAAACTCAATACAAAACAATCGAGCATCCTTAAAGCGGTAAGAATGATTATTAAACACAGAAGCGGAGCAAGCATGTCATTGCAAGTTAGAGAATAAAAAATTTCAAGCATGTCATTGCAATTAAAAGAATAAAAAATGTTACAGAAAATATTACATCGGAAAAAAATATTTATACAGTGTAATAAGTTAACCAAAAAAAAGAAAAAAGAGTCGAGAAAACAACCACCAAGATTGAATCAACTTTCATTTACTGAACAGCTACTAAGCCAAAAACATTTTGGTAGACAACCCGTTAAGCAGAAAACCAAAAAAAAACCATAGGAAACTTTGGTGATTAAACAATTTGAGCGACTAGGTTTTCACGTTTGAAGCTGTTAATCTCCATTACCCTTGAAAACTCAAAACTATCTATTTTTGCCCTTTAAACTATTCCAAATCAGGCGAATAAACCTCGAAATATGAGACAAAACGATTTGAATGAAAAACTTTGAAAAACAAAAGCTGAAAAAAAAAATCAGAAATTTATTTGTTCAGATTTTCAAAATAATCCAACCGGGATTTGAAGTCAACACCTCAGGGTGCAAAAGGTTAGACGGATCCTGAAATTCTTTGAAATTTAAAAAGAAAAGAAGTTCAATTTCTTACAGACAAGCTAGAAAAGCTGTTTGCGGGTATAAATATGTTACCCGATTACAATTCAATTACTCTCGCAATTGAAATTAAATTCATTATATAGCAAAAAAAACTAAAAGTCACCCGAAATTAGGTTTCCAATGTTAAAACTACTCTTCAAATAACTATCGCAAAACCAAGAAATTTTTTTAGATTATTTTCATATTTTTTCCACGATTGCACAAAAAATTCTTCTAAATTTGAGCTCAGGGCACAGATATCATCGTATAGAAATCTTCAGTCAAAAACTGGTAAATGACAAGTCAGAGAAAATAATCCTTCGAAAGTCGAAGCATTTAAAAGCTTGCAAATTGGTCGAGTGATATATCATATTGAAATCCTTTCAGTCGGGACTCGAACCACATTTTAAAAATATTCAAGAACAACTTGTGTTGCGAAATTCCGGTTTAAGTTAATCAGTTTTAGTCTAGTTTTGAGCGGAAAAAATGAGCAATCAGGCCAATAATAGGGCGACAAAATTTTATTTAAGAAGTGAAAATTTACGTTTACTCGAATTAAATTAGTTTTCGAAGTTTCTTTTAGCGCCTTCTTTAAACCTGCGAAAACATTTTCTGCATCCTAATTACTTTTGTTTTTCTAACCATATTCGAAAAAACTGTTGTCAATCGAATATTCTTACCTCTAGCCTTTTGTTCAGATCCAATACTCTCATCACAACGAACAAAAAACGACAATATTCGGAAAAAAACTGTTTGTTTTTAAATTTTTTATGATTGTGGCCAATTGTTCAGTTTTGCTGTCTTTTTGTCTGTCACTATACTCTTTTAAGATGATCAACACCCATTCTGCAAAAAGGTTACAATCATTCAGGCCGGAACAACGCTTAAGTTCACTCCGGACCCTATCTCAAAACGTAGTTTGCTGGTTGAATAAACGTTTCAATTTGAACGTTTATAGTGCAGTTTTCAATTGCGTGGTGAAATCGAACTATTTCGCTGTCCATGCATGGATTAAAAGCGAATTAATAGCCAAGCGAACCCAACTAAAGCGACACCCGAAGTTGTTTATACTCCAAATATTTAAAATGTTGAAATAAATCAAAACAGGGATTACGAATTGAAGCATTAAACGTATAATTTTGGCACTAATAGTTGAGCTTAAAACAGCAAAATGGCCCGACGTTTGAGCACTTCTTACTGATACATTATATATAAATTTAGGTAGAGAGAAAATCGCGTTCAAAACATGAAATGGTGAGACATAGTTTAATGTTGATTAGTTTAGAGCCCACAAGTTAGGAGATAAGAGAGAAAGACAGAGCAGACATTGGCATTCAGTTGAAGCAGAACCAGATTCAGAGCAGTTTATAATCATAACCCACATTTAAATTCAGCTCTAAACCGACATTTAAATTCAAGGCTACCATTAGTAACTATTATCCTTGATCACACTGCACATAGGTGAGTCTACTGAATCAAAATAATGAAAAGGTAATTTAAATTGGATCTTTGTTCCTGGATAAATTTTTAAGCCCCCTGTCGCCTGTCCAATAAAAGCCTTTCTCAGGTCGAATTTCATATAACGTGGTAAGCGCTTTGGACCGATATCGCCCTCAAAATCTAATCAAAACAACTAAAATTTGTCTGAAAAAAAATGTTATTTGAAACTTCACATCCAATTATTAAAACAGCTGAAAAGTTTTTTATTTGACTCTAAATTGACAACCGGATATTCAAAAAAGATAACATTGTTTATCCAGCATACACTCAATTCAACAGTAACGAGACACTAAATTTCATTTTCTCTCTTCCAAACTTAGTTTCTATACTCACCAAATATCCCACACATCCATCTACCTATTAAATCGCCTCTTCGTTTATGACCGGTTATAACTAATATAACCAACAAGTATAACCATCAGCCAACTAACCAACCAGCATATTGCGCAACAAAGAACTGAACTATAAAAAGATACTTGCAAAAGAAGACCCAACTCTATCCATATCTCTTCAGAAAAGATAGCACGATTGAAGGGAAGGGAAAAAGAGAACGAAGAAAAAAAAATGAGGACGTTGCACAAAACTGGAACTGGGTCGAATTTCGAGTCTCTTGAGATTTGAGCAAATTACAATTTCCCCCGACCCATTTTTTCCATAATTTTGTTCTGCGTTACCTCGCTGTGGTGTACTGCAAATGCAACAGTAATTTCCGTCAGTTATTGAGATCAAACAATTTGCAGGGAGAAAAATTAAGGAAAAAAAAACAAATTGCGCCATTGGGTTGTTTGCTAAAACGAAATACTGATGTTAGAAAAATCTTTAAACGCTGTAAGTATAAAATAACTTTTGTTTTCTTTAAAAATCTACAACAACTACAAGCAGGGCAGGATCCAGGATTTTTCGAGGGCGTACTTTCTCCGTAAGAATTCTTTTTAGTTCGACCAATTTGATTTTCCAAGTTCTTCAAAAACAGTATAAGAAACTAGATTGTCAAGGCACTCGTTTGCCAAAAGTTTCTGCTTCGCTTGCAATTTTTTCTTAAAAACAGGCTAAAAATGACGTTTTGGGGGCACTTACTGAAAAGTTTCGACCAAAAACCGCATCTTTTGGCGCGCGTTCCCTTCTTAAATTAGGTCGATCGAAATTGGATGTCGCAAAATAGGACCCTTTGAGTCGTCGGTGGCTAATTTCCCTGTAAACCCGCCCCTGACTACAAGTATGTGACAAAATCAACATCAACAGGAAAATGATAAAGGAATCCTGCAAGAGTTTTCGAACAATAATCAAATCAGTTTGCCGACTTTTATATTTATGATTTTTTTTTCAAATTTGTTGAGACCTTCGGCCTTCAACGTACACCTAGTTTTATCATATCAATAAAAAATCATTTGATCTCACACTTGACTTTTTCATTGTTTTAGCGTGAAAAAATGAAAGAACAGCAAGTAGCCAACGACGCCGCAACGGCAAAGACCCTTCAAGCAGTCATCCCTGAAATAGAGAAAAAAGTCAGCAAAGAGAAGAACAATGACGTCATTTCATTCTTCCAGAACATTCTCAGCCAAGGGATCGACACTCGGGATTCGTTCGTAACCAGGCACGAATGTCTCCGATTCATTCAGAAAGTTGACTCAGAGCTGTACACGTTTCTGTTAAAGAAACAGGGAGCTTTTAGAGACCTGGATATTTTTGACAGGGGAGGGGCGGATGATGTAGGCATGACTGCTCTCATGTGGGCGGTGCTCTTCGATTGGGAAGCGGCGTCGAGGATCCTCATAGGTCGGTTACATCACTTTTATTTCTGAATTAACAAAACCATCTTGGATCTTCTTCACAATCTCGGAGGTATCTAGTACAAAAATATAGAATATCAATTCGAATAAAATCAAAATTCACGTTTAGACATGCACAAATATTACAATGTAATGATTTTTTCCATTTTGCGATAGAAGGGAATCGTTAGAAAGACATTCAGTCTTTTCTCACATTAAGATATCCGTATAGATCCTGAAATATCATCTAAATAGGGCAAATAAAAATATTTAAAGTCTATATATCACCACGTTATGAAAACTGGACATATATTATCAAAAATTGGACTTCAAAACGCAACGCTATCAAGATCTCATTTTTCAGACCTAGGGGCTAATGGCGAGCTGACTCTGAACTGCGAGCGAACACTCCTTATGGTTGCCGCTTGTCGAGCGTCTCCCTCTGTTGTCGAACTCGTAGCCGACACCTATCCGAAACAACTCGGAGCCACCGACATCAATCGCGACTCAGTTCTCGTCACGACTCTAACCCACAATAGACACGAAGTCCTCGAGACGCTTTTAAGAACTGATCAAAATGTTAACGAATTGGATTACGATGCCGCTTTGATGAAGGCGATAGATCTCGGAGGCCGAACCAAGTCGGGTTTACTTCTCGTTCCGAAGGTAGGTTTCCGGCGTACAATTCTTCAACTCAGTTCCTTTTTGTTGTATAGACCTACAAAGCCCTTGGGTTGTTACAGCAGCGGTTTCAGATTTATTGTCTCGTCAAAGGCTTCCTTCATCGCTTTCATTTGACAAAGTTGCTTTTGCTTCAAGCTGATTATTTATTCTGAGAGGCAGGAAACTTGAACACTGAAAACTTACTTTGAACAAGTAACACTTAGTCATTTACTAGCCATAACAGCAAAATTGCAATGCGAAAGACTCCCGAAATATGACTTAATTTTTGTTGATACTCTCTGTTGTTAGATTAACTCTTTTGTTTCGATATTTGAAGGTAAAAGATGTCAACGCAGGTCCTCCTCGCAGGACTCCGTACCTCTACAAGGCTGCCATCAAGGGGTGTCTGGAGATAGCGGAGGCGCTGATCAAAGCTGGTGCCAAAGTCGACAAGATCAAGAGCTCCTCGGGAACTAATGCATTAATGGAGGCATCCAGACAAGGACATGTTGAGATTGTCGATCTGCTGCTGAAGTCAGGAGGTAACTTTCCATACTTACCATTCCAAACTAATGATTATTTGTTGACAAAATGAAGAAACCTTAAGAGAGAAAAAACTCGCCTTTTTTATTTTTTGTAAGCAATACAATATCAGCTGTCTAGAAGAAATGTCTAAATATTCAGCTTCCAAAAAAGAAAAAGACTCCGACAAAAAAAATATTGATCCAATTCCAAATACAAGACCATTTTTTATGACCAATGACTATACTTGGCAAGATCTAACTATATCGCTCAGGACAAAAAATTCAGTAAAAGCATTCATAAGTCAGCTATAATCCGGACTATCTGCATACCTTTTAGTCCTTAAGTTCAGACACTTCATCCACGACAAGAAGGAATAAGACACAAACTAGTCAGCTTTTTTACGAAGATTCGTTATATATTTGCGCTCCTGTTAAAAAGTACTTCAACGTTTTTTCCTTGCATGCAACATGTGTAATGCTGCCTCAGCCTCACCCTCAAGCAACGAGCACAGATCATGGTGGGCCTCGAACCTCTGATCTTTCCATTGAGAGGCGGAGACGGTACCACTTCACCATTGCTACCAAAGTTAATTTATTGTCATTTTAGTTTTGATTTCGTTTCAGCCGAACCCAATCTGACAAGTGAGTGGGAGGAGGACAGTGACACTGGCTACACTTCACTCCACTTCGCAGCCAGATTCGACAACTTCAACTGCATCCGACTACTGCTGGACCACGGGGCAGACAAACACGTCGAGTCCCGCAACAGACAATTCACGCCATACGTCATCGCCATCAGATTCAAGGCCATGGTAAAAGCTTCATTTCATGAACATTCATCGCCATGCTCATTGAAACGAAAACACATTTCTGTCACACAGGAATCATTGTTGGACCAACTGACGGAAAATTACAAATGTCTTAATTACTGGAGTTTTTGCTGTTTTTCCAAAAAGCCTAATCCACAAAAATGATTTGAAAAAAAAAACAAGTATTAATGCTTTAATTAAATTCTAAAAAAGGCAAAAAAATACCAGTAGAATCACTCCCGAATTTCAGCTTCCGATCTGTTTTTGTATATAACAGCAGCGGATAACCTTCTGGATGAACAGAAACGTTTAAGGTTGAACACTTGTTCTCGTTACAACAGGAGTCCCAGAAGTTATTGGCAACTGGCAGATGCGAACTGCCCATTCTATTAGAAGCAGTCAACTCGAAGACTACGAACTCTGTAGATCTCCTTCTATCCACTAGTGAACACAAACAGGAGCACGTGAACGAGGCACTTATTCAGTGCTGCTCCAAAGGATACTACGACATCGCTGAACTACTTTTGAACAAATACGGAGCCAATGCGAATAGGTAATAATATGATTTATGGGTCCCTTAATAAGCAAGTTTTCCAAGTTTAGCAGGTTGTGGTGACATTGCAAAAACTTGATTCATTGAAAAACAAAGCCTGATTTATAAACTTTTGAGGCAACGATAAAATTGAGGATATCGCGCATGAAAAAAACTTCGGTTATGATTAAAAAACTCAAAAGCACAAAATTGCAACATGCCGGGAGTTTTATAGGATAAAATAAGTGCCCAAAAACCACATCGTTTATCTGATAAAAATGGTGAAACTTCCAAATTTTGTTGAAAATCTACTCTAATCGCAAAACTTTCAACTTTTTGTTTGTTTCTAAGCACGAACTGTTTTTAAGCTTGTTTTAAGCACGAATTTTAGGCAACCATTTAAGCAAGTTTTTTTGTTTGTTCTTTTTAAGCATGAATCATAAGTAAATGCGTAATTTAACGGTTATTCGATGTTTGAGATACAATATCGTAATATGAGACACATACCGTAGACTGGTTTTCGAAGAAATCCATTAACTATACTTGTTCCTGCATCATAGCGCCCAGAAAGGATCAACAGAGTCCTCGCCAGGGGAAAGACTAACCTGTGCTCTGCTGGCTTCTATGCGAGGTCATCTGAAAGTAGTTGAACTGTTATTCGACCACAGTGCTAATTTCCAAGAACAGGATAAGAATGGGGCCACTGCTATACACTATGTCATGGCGTGCAATGCGGAGGCGGAGCTGATCGAGAAACTGGTCAAAACATACGGCATGTCAGCTTTTACCAAGGTTAGTTCATTCATTCTGATTCAAGGGTTAAGCCTTCGCCAGAGTACCGAAATAACAAAATACCTATTTTAACAAAGATCAGCTTTCATTACACCGAAAAAAATATCTAGTCCAAACTTCATTTACTTTCAGTTGTCGAAACTATGGATCCACTTACGATTTTTTCAGCTGCATTCACAACGCGGTTGAATTTTTGCTGGCAAATTTTAATGTCATATTGAAACTTTTCAATGCAATTGAATCATGATTGAAATAATTCATTTCACCCCAAGCCACTTTCCTTTCCGCTCAATAATAAATGTTTACAACTGAATTTAGACAGAACCCTGTTCAACCTTTTACACACAAGTCAATCAAGAACGAAACGATTCAAAATGATACCTAGAACTTTGGTATGATACTTACTTTGGAATAATACCAAATCAAACCCATATTAAATTCTCGAACAATACTTCATTAGAATTTCGAGAACAGTTTATGACGACACTTTTTTGATAAAAAGCAAACCCAAATTTGAAAAATTGGATCAACCGGTTTTTTTTTGTTCCTCTGAGAAACTTTAAAATTAAAATCCATTTTCGAAACTAAAAGACCATTAAATTTTTTCGCGACGTTTCCTTTTTCTTAATTGAAGAACAAAATTTTCCCTGATTTTAGCTAATGAACTTGAGTTGAGGAAATTATGAGTGAAACCGCAAAAAGCAAAAAATGGAAAACCAAATCATCACGGCCTATTAAATACGTTCATTGACACTAAAAAAGTTAAACTTATCAAACACTTCAAAGCGCTGAAACAAACACTAAATTTAGATGCAAATGTACTTCAAAAATATAAGAATTTGAAACAAAAGTCCATGAAATAATCAATGCTGGAATATGACAAGAAACGAGTGACTTCACCAAAAAATAACGAAGCTGAGAGGCGAAGCTGCTCTTTGCAGGCACACGCGAGAAAACTACAAAAATTAGCTCTAAAAAATTCAAAAAGAAAAGAAAAGGTAAAAATAAACCTTGAATGCTAAAACATTTGCTGTGGCGGATCCAAACTTACCACCAGAAGAATTGGAATCGCAAGTCCTTGCAAGCTTTTGAAAGCTTACTACTTCTCGACACCAATAAAGCAGCTACATGAGCTGATAAACTGCCAATGTTATGCAGCAAAAATGGCACCAGATATAAAAAGAACAAATTTAGCATGTAACATTTTGGATCAAAATAAACTAAAGGCAGCCACATTAACTTTGCGTGTACTAATTGAGAAAACATGAAGCCGAATAATTGAGCATTTCAAAAAAATTCCAGATACATTGCTTGGAAAATTTCTAAAATGGAGTTTTCGTGATTGTACTGAATGAAATAGCTTTTTATTTTCAGTTGATTAAAAAAAGAATATCCATGCTATTAGACTATGCTCCTTAAAATTCGCTTGTGTAATCAGCAGTGAATGCATTTTAAGAAACTAGGTAGAGCTCATGCTATATAGAACTGTCAAGTATTAATTTGACTTTGCGAAACTTAACACAACTATAACACAGACTAGGGCAACTTACATGGCATAAAAGTGAACAAAGTATTATAACGTAAGCTCCGTTAGCTTCGCAAGCTAGCGCAACAAAGTGCATGACTTCAATTGACTGAATTCTCTCGTGAATGCAACAAAATGATAATTGATCTGATCATTCGAAAAATGTGAAGGAACTTTGTATTCGGGTGTCTTTTAATTTTTTCTTCCATTTTTTTTTGCTTTTCACGCAAAATCAGGTACCACAAATACTCATTGGAACGGGACGAGTGATATAACAATTTAAAGCCCTTTCGTGATTCGAACGACCTGAAAATTTTTCCATAAATTTTTACCAGTGTTGAGAAAAACCGGTTTAAAATTCTTGAGTTGCTTAAAATTGCTTTCACAAAAATCACGTTAAGTACCCGAATGTTAAGCGAATATTCAATTTTCCGCGTTGCCACATGGGTAACGAAGTCCCAAATTTCATGCGGCAAGCGTGGAAAATAGATCTGCGTCACAGTGTTATCAGAACAAATATCAGTCTCAGATTATTCACCGTAATCGCTCGAATTAGCCGCATCTTTTATTAGTTTAAAGTGATTAATTTCTTTGGTGTATGTACCACTTTATGGTTTTTCTTCTGTTTGGTAGAAACAAAACGACAACTTCAGGGACGTTTTGCTTTCAGAAAGATAAGAAAGGTCGTACTCCAATCTACTATGCCAACAAGAAGGAAACTCTGACTAATCTCCTCCAACTGGAATCGGACAAGTTCTCCCACCACTGGATGACCCAGACTGACTACGAGGCAGTGTTTTGTGCAGCACTTATTTAAATAAAAAGTTCAATTTGAAAAATCGAAGCTCCTATATTAAAAATCTCAATTTTTTTGAACTTACTTTTTTATTGTTTTAACCTAGTTTGAAAGACTATTTATTTCCAGTTTAAACAAATTAGAGCATCTTGTCTCCGAAAGTGCCTTCCGAAATATTCAACTTCTTCAAATAAAGCAAACGAGATTTTTCATACTAATCAGTTGATTATTGATCATTCAGTCAATATTCAATTCAACAAAACATTGCTTCAAAGGAGAGCCAGGGTAACCTTGGCGAACAAGCGAGGAATCTTCGGGTTACGAGTAGTACCTTCCCAGAAGCAGTGGTCAAGTTTGAGGATCTGGGAAAGATTATTTTGGACAAGACAGTGCAGCCAGTTGGATATGGACCCCATGACGAGAACTTGGGCAAGTTGTTTTTCAAACTTAACTCTTATGTAACAATAGATAGAAAAACCGGGAAAAAACATGACAAAATGTAGAGAATCAAAAGTAGAGAATCGAAAACACGATAAAAGGGCTTCAAATTGATACTTTTATCGAATCCCTTTTAGCTCTCTGAGAAGTAACGAAAACTGTGCGCCAAAAATTAACTTACGTCATAGTTTATTTGCATCTTACGTCAGCAGGTGGTCAGATTAACATTTTATTTTTCTAACCACGTTTTATTTTTATATGAAAGTAACCCTAGAACTATTCGAATCAAATCCGAAGTCCGTAAAGCAGAGAGTACAGATTTGCATTTCCGTATTTCAGACACGGCATATACTTACAAAAGATTACGGACTTAAGATGAAAAATACGCAAGGGAGTGAATTTCAATCGAGCAGTGCCTCAGCCTCTTAATCAACAATTAAGTGGCACGAGGCCTTTGATAATTCGACCATTTACTAGCTTAACGTTTTCAGGAATAGGAAAATTGCTTTTCTCGTCGTAGTGATATGTCGCAATGAGTCGAACAACTCCTTAAATTTTTTGCAAAAATTCGAGAAAAGTTTTTATCTCAACCACATTATTAACTAAAATATTGTTCCGATCATCGGGGAAAGACGAAAGAAACTGAATATCCGGGACATTCTTTGTTTTTCCTCGCAAAATCAAATACCTTAAAAAAACATCGCATACATGGCGTCCACTGAGATATCACATAGAAACTTTAAAACACATTGCCGCTTCGAAGAGCAATAAAAAATATCCTTTAGTTCCACATTTTTGAGCTACCTGATTGCTTCTTCTCTACGTTTTGTACGTAGACTACCAAAATAAGCAATAATTTCATGAACTTGAACTTTACCTTTTTGCTAAGATGACTGTGAGCGATTCATACTGTGCTACTCCACAAGAACCAGCAACTCTTGTTCAAAAAATGACTGTTTCAGAAGTGAAGGTGGACTTTTCCTTCTTCTACGAGCAGGGCACTCTCACTAAGAAGAATGAACTCAGTGAAGATGTGCTGCAGTCTCTCCTTGACAATGACTCACCCGCACTTCAACACCCGGCTATTAAACTATTCCTCCTCAAGGTGAACAAATTCAATACAGGGCGGCTAAAAACCTTGGAGAAAAAAACAATCAAATTTTTTTTTTAATGCTAGAAACTGATATTTGAAAAAGATAATTGAAATAGACGGATCTCCAATAACTGATCTCTACTGCTAATCATTTGTTATTGAGATTCCATTTTCAGATCTTTAAGCCATGTTTTATTCGTTTAGATGGATGGGTAATCCCACAAGGTTTAATAGAGGGCCCTTGTTGCGAAGTTGTGCGCAAGTTTAACAAACAATGACTCATTGAGGCATTTATGGTTTGAAAAGTTGGGCCATACTTCTTCAATGGCGCGATAGCCATCATAACCCGTGCTCGTTGCTTGATAATGAGACAAAATTACCCAGCCCAAAAAAATATCCAAAAATTTGGATGGAATTCTTAACCAGGGGCACAAGGGTTGTCTGTAGAGACCTGGGGAGCTTGAATGTTAGTCCTTACCCTGGTGGATGAACTGTATTATCGTTCCCACCAGCTCTAAAAATGTTTAACAAAGGAATTGAGGAAAAAAAGTAGCTCGCTCGTATTACTATCACCTGATTCATCTGCAATCAGACCAATTAAGCTTGTTTCATTCAAACCTTACCGCTCTTTTCAGAAATTCAACGGATTCCCAAAATGGTACGCACGATGTCAGTCAAATCTCTATCTCTTCCTGGCACTCACTTTCCTAACTTCGACCATTATTCACGTGGCCAACAACAATCAAAACCAACAAAATACTACAGAAAAAGTACTCGGAAAGAGTTGCGGAATTGCCGCTTTTGTTCTCACCATTCTATGCATACTATTCGAACTTCTCCGATTGGATGAAAAAGGATTCAAATATTTCACACTCGCTTCTTCTTGGTTCAGACTCGTAACGTATATAGCCTCAGTAGTCGCTATTGTTTTCAACCTCTTCGTCAAAATTGATGAAGATTCTGAGCTCTTCGACTCCTTGATGCGCGTCACACAATGTTTCGTGGTGCTGGGTCTCTTTTTCAACTTGCTTCTAACCCTAAGAAGGTCGGCAATATATGGCATTTACGTGTCTATATTCTGCAATGTGTTGGAGAATGTGTGCAAGCTGTTGGTGCCTATTGGTCTGATGATTCTGGCCTTTTCAGCTTCGTTCTACTGCGTCTACCAGAACAGTGGACAGTATAGTGGCATGGGTAATACAGGTGAGCAATACTGATTCTTTTTTCAATAAATTACACAGAGGCGAAGCCGAGCTTCGCACCACTTGCAATACGACTGGATCTGTCAGAATTAACGAAAATAGTTGTGGGAAAAAACATGCCCAGACAATAGAGTAAAAAAATCAGCATCGGAACAAAACTACCCAAGCGGTCACAAAGCCAAAAAATACCTGAGCAGAAACTCTTCATGCCGACTCTTTATCAAATTCAAAACTAATTTCAAAAAATCAAGTCCTTCTTCCCCTCAGAACACACACACACTCACACAAAGACTTATTTCTCTCATCAATCGACCCAATAAGAAGCTACTAAGCCGATATAAAATACGCCAAAACCTACTGAGCCGGAAGAAAATGAAACTTTAAAAAAACGAGTTGGTAAAAATTCAACCAACATAAAAAATGAGGAGGCGAACATAAAAATTGTATTTCTTTTGAAACGAACCAAAATTAGGTCAATAAACTGATTAACAGAGGCGGTAATAATTTGGGACGTTAAGTTTTTATGCGAAAGAAAACAAAAAAGAAAATACGAAAAAATGATAATTAAAATTACAAATTCCAGGAACAAATCAAAATACTACAAGCAAAATTAATGAAAATAGCATGCAGCAACAAAAAACGATTCTAAGATGTGGCAACTAAGCCAAGAAAAGATAAGAAGACAAATATTAGGCCGACAATTTTATTTGAAACAGAATATTTTCCGTTTGAAAAAAAAAACAGGTCCTGATCAGATTCGAACTCAAAACATTTGAGGTCCTAGGCGTATTCATTACCTCCAGGCTTGCGCCGAGAACGCTAAGTAATTTGAATTAATTATGAGCCATGCTAGACGAGTCCAGATGAGTTCTGTGAAAAAATTCATTTACTGAAAAAAGTCTTGTACCCGATTGCAATACTCTTGCTGATTGCAAATGTAAATTATAGGAAAACACTGAATTCGTACAAACTTAATTCGTGCGATGTCAAAACAGCAAAAAAATGGGTTCAAGTTCAACAAGATCAAAAGAGACCCAATCTATCTGTCCGATAAGCAATTACCACTCAATAATCAGACCTCGGCCATTTTGGCTGATTCAGAAAAAAAAAACAAAAAAAAATTAACAAGGATAAGATTAACCAAAATCAGTTGCTTCTCAAAGTGTGTCGTTTTTTGTTCACGGTGCGATGAGAGAACCTTAATGAATACCTATAACTTAGGCATATGCGATATTAATAGCAAATTATTGTAATAGCTAATTTCTCCGTTAGTAATAGCAAATTACTCAACAAATAACAAATCAATTTTAAACACAGAGGCAAAGCTTCGCTTCGCAAACTCTTGCGAGAACACGACAAAAAGCAGCTCTATAAAGTGCATTAAAAAAGAAATGAGCCTCGAATTAGTAAAAATTCGGAAAGGTCTCGGATTCCATCTGGGACCTACTGTGACCTAGAGATTACAAGTCTCACGCACTAACCACTCAGCCATGCACGCTTAATACAGCACAAACAATAGCCACAGATAAAGCAGAGAACAGATGCTGTGAAATTTCAAATGCTAAATCGTGATTATAGCAAAGTGCCACCAAACATGTTAACACTTTCCACTTTCAATTAACACTTATTTGCGAGTCAGGTTAGAAAAAAGGTTCCTACTAATACGCTAGTGTAAAAAGCAATAAATCTCAAGAATGCACTAAGAGGAACATCGAAAACTAATCGAGAAACATCGAAAACTAACTTGAATCATAAGCATACTCTTATAAGCCTATTACAAGCCTGCTCGCTCGCATCATTCTCCCGAAATTAGAGAAAAACAGAAAATTTCAAACCCGTTTTTCTCGACAATTTTTTGGAAAAGAGTGTTATCATTTGGAAATCAGGAAAATGGGGGGGTCCATTTTTCAAACTAGAAGTCTATCATGTCTTTTATGATCTTTAGACTTTTATTTTCGATACAGAAGTTTGCCTTCTGTTCGACAGAGGGAAATCCAGAGCATAATCAAACTTGAGTGAACAAATTTCAAGATTTTTTTCCAACCAAAAATTTATCACGATCTTTATAAGCGAAACCTACTTCTTCGCTTTTTACACTTAAAAAGTAAATTTAATTTTCTCTGAAATATTCTTCTTTGGCTGGATTTTTTCTTCAACTTACTTTGTCAGAGCTCAACATTTAACAACAATTTATATTATTCGTCATCCATAAGAGTCATGCTAAAAAAATTGATTTTGCTTATTCCAGAAGTGCTTTTCTAGAACTTTCTGGAAATTTTCAAGTATCGTTCAAATATCGACTGCAAAAGCTTATTAGCTGGAAATTAGACCAAAAATTTCAAACAGGTTTTTCTCGACAAATTTTTTAATGTAGTTCGAATCACGACTGAAAAGGCTTTCATATGATATATAACTCTACCCAGTCCGATTATTATTTGTAGTACCTGATTTTGCGCAGGAAAAAAACTAAAACACACCCGAAAACAAAGTTTATCGCCATTTTCATAGTCGGAACAAACAACAGATTACAACTTAATTTGCCAGAAAACTGATTTAAAAACAAAAGCAAAATTGCGCCTCGCGAGCACAAGCAAACAAACCGCACAAAAAGCTCCATCATTGGCAAAAAAAATACAAAACTAATCTTCAAGTTTTCAAAATGCAAACCCTTTTGAGATTCGCAATGAAAAATCCCTACCAAAAGGGACTTGAACGGTTTAGCTGCATTTAAGTAACAACACCCGAAGCAATAGAAGGAAAGAAATGAAGTTCAACCTCTGAAATGAAAAAAATCTCTACAATTTTTTTTGCTTACTTCTCTACCAGAAAATATCTGCAGTTTCAGCAAAATCTCTACCAGACTTCAAACTATTTTGTTCCTCTTGTTTTCTTTGTGCACCTCACCCTCAGACTTGTTAGTGAAAATCATTATGGGTCAAATAAATAATTTCAAAAAAGAAAATGGAATCAAAGAGGAATAAAATTATCTAGCTAAACAATGTAGATCAACAATATTGCATCATTGTCAGAGCTCAACAAGAAAAATCAAAAGTTTGTCATTCTAAATTTTCCATTTCAAAGGGGATCCATTTCTTCGTCGCTTATTTCTGTAATCAACAGATCATCAGACATCGGAAGATTTCGTTTCATTTTGGCCTTCGACAATCCAGATTCCGATTCAGCACCGGTCGCATTTTCACTATTAGCTTCATTTGCCTTGCTTGAGTTTGAATGTGAAGTTGAAGCAATGGGTTCGATAACATCTTCAGGAGCTTTTGGTTCTTTTATAACTTGTTCACTATGCGTTGGCTCTGGAGGTGTCACAATATAAGAAGCACCAGCCTCGTTTCCCGCTGGCGTTTCATTTGTAGACACAGCCTCTGTAGATTGTAACTCAGTTTCTGGCTCCTCGATTTGCCCATCTCCAGTTCCAGAGCTCAGTACCGTCTCTGGATTTGTTTCTGGAACAGTCTGCTTATGCATGAGTGACTTGATGGCTCTCGCTCTCATTTCCAGTTCCAGCAGCTCCATCTGACTAGGCGTTGGCTCCCCACTTGCCGCAGGGTCCACCTTAAATTCAACGCAAATTTCAAATTAAAAAAGCATTTTTGCATTTTAAAAAAAAATATTTTGGCTCTGCGATTTCCTACGAAAGACATCTCTGCTTCAAGTTTTAAATTAGGATTGGTTCTACTCGTTTGCTCGACAGATACCAAATGCGATACAGCCCGTTACAAATCTTACAGCTTTGAGTAGGCAGCACTGCGTTTAAAATGGATACAACCACAGAGAGATAAAATTTAGTTCTCAAAACGTTGCGTCCAGTTTTAAAGTTCTAAGGATTTCTTCGTAATTTAAAACTGATTTCACCTGGAGGAATGATTTTGTTAAATCGTCTGTAGTGACTCTCTCCACCGACTTTCTACTGCTTGAGGATCCTTGGCGGGAGTTCTCTGTCGGTTGTTTCCTGTTCGCAGGCACGACAGCCTTCCTCCCCTTGAGCACATCCAGAATGTCCTCGTCTGTCATTCTTTTGCATTCGCTCACTAAGCAACACTTCACCCACTTCATTTTAATTTTACAATTAACGTTAAGAATCTCATCAATACCTACTTGATTCTATTTATCCACGAGGGAAAGGGCCAACATAAAAGCTGTACAGCTAATCATGGAGAACCGCTGTTGTGCCCTGGTTAAGAATTACACCAAATTTATTATTATTGAATCTGAACAAAATTAATGCAATGAAACAGCTAAATTTGAAGTCGGAAACCGCCAATTTTTCTTTCATTTCAGCTCGTAAAAATCATGTCAGAAAACCTAATTAGCCTGAGCAGCATCGTTTTTTTTTTACCAATCAACAACTAAACCATTAAATATTTTTTTTGAGTCAAAACAACAACTTCATGCTTCAAATGTGATCCTTCGATATGTCAGCATTGTTACTTGAAACTCAAACTCTTGAAATGCAATCTTTAAAAAATAAGCAAAAACCAACCCAGTAGTTCTCTGATTTCCTCGGGAGAATGATTCGCCTTGCGGATGACCTCTGGAAGCAGTTCATTCAGCTGCTGGTCTCCCCCCAGAATAGCAAACACTTCCTCCATCAGTCTTCCCCGGTCTCCCACCATCTCATCCAGGGGCTTCAACTCCAGAGCCAGATTGAGCCAGTGCTCATCGCCTACACTAGCCGCGCCGCCTGCCACACAATCACACAATTTCAAAATCTTCTGGTACTTTCCTACACTACTGATATGATTATTATTACACAGAGGCGAAGCCGAGCTTCGCATAACTTGCGATACCACAAAAATAGCATTGCAAGCTAACAGACAGGAGAGGAAGCAACCAAGTCCAAGGAAAAAGGAAAAAATTCCAAGAAACTCGGAAAACACGTAAAGAAACACATTCGACGTCGTTTAATGAAAACTCGAAAACAACTTTCGAGCGAAAAAAAATATTGTCACGAAAAAATTTGGATCCAAAAATTTTATTCTGAGACTTTCAACGTTTTGCACGATTCGGACGTTTCCCACGAACGACCCAAAATTATGTTAGTAAGCCGATAAATTATAAGCCGAAATCATTCAAGCCGAAAAGTTTTAACCAAAAAAAATATATTTAAAAAATACGAAGTCAAGGTTAGTAGAATTGCAGGAGTAAATAAAAAAAATAAAAAGCAACTACAATGAAAACCGCATGCCTCAACAAAAGATTCTACGACGCGGCAACTAAGCCGACTTTTTTTTGAAACGGAATATTTCCCGTTTAAAAAAAAACAGGTTCTGGCCACATCCGAACCGCCGTCCCAGGCGTATTCGTTACCTCCAGAGTAAGTGTACCGGAGACACTTGAAACTTTGAATTCATTATGAAGCAAGGTACCAAGTGATTCTGTTAAACAAGTTAAGTTGTTACCCAGAAAAAGTCTATATTCCGATTCGAATAATTAAGTCCCTCTTGAAACTAAAATGAACAAAACTTGCACTTGCAATTACAGTGTTGCTTTCAGCGCAAGAAAAATCCTTGATTTGGCAACGAAGCCGAAAAACATTGAGCAGGCAACAATTGAGACGGAAAAAAAATCATTTTAATTTAAATAAAAATTTCAAGTCCTCCCTGAAACTACAAATAATAATACTTGCACTTGCAGCTACAAAAAAGTTGCTTACAGCACAAGCAAAATCTGTGATGTGGCAACTAAGTTGACAAACGAAAGTCCGACAATTCAACTTTATGAGGGAAAAAATTAACTCGCATACATACTGAAAAAAAAACAAGGTTCGGTCGGACTCACACCCACGACCGTAAGATGCAAAGGCCACGACGTTACCTCTAGTCAAACTCTTCTTTTTATTATGCATACCTGTAGAGTGGTAATTGTTCAGTACTCTCTCGAATGCACCTGTTTCCTTCAGAGACCTACTTCTGCTCCTGTGCTCCTTCCCTTTACTCCCCTTCTTCCTCCTCTTCTCCCCCTTCTTATTTGACTTCTTCTCCTTCCTCTTTTTAGCAGGCGAGGGGGAGGAGTCGGGTGAAGACTTGCTGCCCATGTTTTTTTTGCAATTTTCACTGTATAGGTATTTTACTAACTAGCTCTAGTTATAACAACAGACACCATTATACTATCTAAAAACGAGCAAACATTGTAATAAAGTTTCAATTGTACTCGACATAAATAAGTTTTTACAAACTTGAAAATCCGTTGTCTTCGACAAACTAACTCCTTGTCAAAAGAAAAAGTTTTTTTATTACGAGTCACTGAATGCACGAGTTTAACTTCCGATTTCTCTCACAAGTTATTGAAATTACTAGTTTAATTTCTGATTTCTCAGCGGAATAAACAGTTCAGATATTCATGCAGATTTCTCAAATTGAATTTGTATTGATCAAAAAAGAGTCAATCATAATTTTTTCTTCAAATTCGAAGAGCTTGAAGCCATCTATGTTTATCTATGAAATTCGAAAATTTTCAATAAAAATCAGGTATGTTTTTTTTCTGTTTCCTCGCATTCATTTGACTGACTATTTTCCAACTGTCTGTTGGCTATGTTTAGTTGTTGTCAAATATTTCGCTTTTACCTTGCCGTAAAAACCCAATCAGCTTCGAAAGAATCTTCAGTACCACCTTGTTTAACATAGAGTAATTTTTCTGTTATGTTTGATACACTTCGTATTTTCTTACCTACCAAACTATGAGATCATACCATCATAAATAATATCTGTCGGATACTATAGACATTTTTCACTCTGAGCCTCAAGTTAAACACAGCCCTACTTAATCGCTAATAGCATTACGTCATGAACGCAACTCTTTGCCGTTTTCAAGCATTGTCGTCTGTATCCAACCATTGGCGTACTAAAAACACAATTTTAAGTCCCCGAAGGACCTCCGAACTTGACTGAGACAATTTAACTACGAGGGAAACAACCAGCATATCAGCTGCTGTAGCGCCCCCAAATCAGACCAACATGCAATTTTTCTGTGCTTGTTTATGTTGCCAGCCTCTTCAGCAACACGTACGGATTATAGTGGGCCTCGAACAACTGGCCTTGCGACTTTGAGAGGCAAAGACCTCAGATTGTCAACTTTAGCACCCAAAATATCTTTTATTTCAAGGTCTTAATAGTTTTTCGGTACATGACAAAATGCCTCATTATCATATTCCACGTTATGCAGACACTCAACATAAGTATAATAACAGATAGAAATGGCTAAGGACCTCGAAAATACATGTGAATAATAGCCTCAACCTTTTAGCTTAACAACTATATTATCATGCTCTGCTGTTAGGTTTCAAGGTGATCTCGATGATGATGGGGAGTGTTGAACCGGAGGAGGTAGTGGAGACGATCTCGTCCAACTGGCCCCTCTTTCTAGCCCAGACCACCCTTTTCATCCTCTTCCTCATTCTCATGGCCATCATCACCACAAACCTACTCATAGGCAAGTACCGACACAAACCAACACACTATCTCCAAACAGGATCTTTTTAACTATCCTCCCCTAGAGTACCTAGAAACGAATGGCCACCACTATAAAGAAATAATTCAATAGTTAAGCATATGTAAAACTTGTACCTAGTTACGAATCTTTGTACCTAGTAACGAAATAGTTAAAGAGATCCTCCGAACCTACCCCTACTTTCAGAAATCTAGTAAACCTTCAGACCTTTAAAAGCGGAAATTCTCCAAAAACCTTTTTTGCCTTGTCGCAATTCGTATGATTGTCTTAATATTGAGAACATCCAAAAATGATAAGCAATGCTTTCCAATAATACTTTGAAGATTCAAAACTCATTTCAGGAATTGCAATCAGCGACGTCAACGCTGAGATCCCATTGGCCAAACAGACCCACCTATCACAGCTCACAGACCACATTGTCCAATCAGAGAACGTCGCCAGGGCAGTTCCAGGTCTGAGCCGATTCTGTTTTAAGGACAAGCAGTGCTCTATCTCCATCAACCAGTACGAATCATCGCGAGGCATTTTCGGAAAAATAGCAAAATGCTTCGCGCCCAAATCTGCTCCTCAGTTTGAACAGGAACTGATAGAGGAACTCAAGATAATCGTAGATGAAATTTATGTCCAGAGCACGAGCGACTAATTTACAAAAAAAAACACAATTTTTCATGTTTTGGTGTAATTCATCTTACTATCTATAATAATTTTCAAAATGTCTGTCATGCTTAGAAATCGAAAAATAATTCAATTCAATTTGTTGTGTTCTTGCAAGAGACTTACCTTAAATGGTAAGCAAATCCAATTACGATAACTAATTTGCTAAAAACAACTCTCAACAAAATAATTTGTACAAGGGTTCATAAATGAAAATTCTTAGCGGTAACTTGGCCGACAAACACTTGAAACGACACCTTACCATAACACCAAGAAATTAGTAACATACTCTTTAGCGAGAGATAATGATCGTAAAAAATCATAGTTCAGAGCTTTTTCCATTAATCGGCCATGATATGAAAAAATCTATGGCAGAAATTAAAAGATAATGCGTCCAAAGGAAAAGTTAAAAATTTGAATGAATGTTGTTGAAGAAATCGTATGCTGATAAATCAAGAAAATTTGCTATAATATAAAATCTCCTAACTTATTAAGACTGTGCGTTAAAACCGGGCACAGCGTTTCCTTCACTTCTCCGCTTGCCGAAAAATCTGGCCCCATACCAAGCGCAAAGTCATTGCTGATCGCAAGGTTAATGATGAAAACTTAGATACTCCTCGATTAAAATTGTACATCCTACAAGATAAACTATCACACAGAGTTGAAGCTGAGCTTCGCACCACTTGCGATACACAAGGTCACCAACTCTGAAAAAATTGGCTAAACTCAAAAAAAAACAACACCCGAAATGTTCAAATGTTCGTTTCATATTGAAACCCATTTTGATGAAACCTCTGGCAGAAGACAACAGCCAGTCTGAAGAAATTATATAGTCAAGTTGGAAAAATTACTTGAAAAATTAACATGAAAAATTTGGAAAAACTGCAGCTACAAAAACATCATGATTGTATCGAATGACATATTAAACAGCTTTTAAAAAAGCCGAAAACTGTTGAGCCGAAAACAAAACTCTTGCCATAAAAAATTTCATGGAACCTTCAAAGTTTCTACGACCAATCCATACTGACCCACATAATCCTATAATAATAGATTTGCCTCGATATTACGCAATATAAGTTAACTAGGCCGAATTAACAATCTGCTTAAATAATTTTAAAAAATGAAGAAAAAAAAAACACGCAAAAACAGAATTGAAACTTTTAAAATACCGAACTTAAAGTTATAGTAAAAAACTGTTTAACTTTGAACAAAACCTATGCTTTGAAAAGTAATCTAATAAAAACCCTGCATGATAAAATAATATGAAATAGTTTATTAAATGGTTTATTTTATATAATGATGTCTCAAATCTTGTGTGGAAGGCCTCCAATGGGAGGATTTTAGAAACAAGATTTTATGACTGGATACTCGAGGTTTCATATATTCAAGGAAGCACCAACAAAAAAACCAATTCCCCAGCGAGATTCCTAGAAGCCGGAAACCTCAACATCTTGTCGCTCCCTGGGGCCAGCATCAGGCACTTATACGACTATATTCCACCCGCAGGTCGCTTTGAAATCATCATACTTTTCATTGGAGGAAACGACCTCTTTGACGGTTTCGAGCCCTCGTCGAAGACTCCGCAAAAAGTTGCGCAAGATCTGATAGAACTTGCTGATTTTGCCTGCCAGAGAACCCGCAGCAGCGTCTTTGTCCTGGGAATTCCTGAACGCGACAAAAATAGAGAATGAGCGAGTGTAACGAACGATATCGTCAAAGCAGGAGCAGAAAGAATATCTCCCCGATTCAAACAAAAAGTTGAGTGGAAATATCGAACTGTCAGCAGTTTCACGTCTGGCAGACGCTATTTCAAATTAGATAAAATTCACCTCAACAACGACGGTCTGAACAACGTCAAAAATCTAGTCAAAGAAAAAGTTTTGTATTCGAAATACAAAAAAGAATTGAACGACGCAGGAAACACGAAAGTTGTCAACAGCGAAACAAACAGCTGCCACTGTAGCCATTTTTATTTTCCAAAGGTACACTTAGGTACCACCAATGAGAACTTGTGTCCCAGTCCTATTTCTTCCAAAGGTGCCCTTAGGCACCATCGGTTGAAACAAAAAACACCACCATAATGGCGGAAAACTTGCAATAGCAAAACAAATGCAAGAGAGCAATCTTTTGATTGCATAACATGTGGATGTAGAATGCATCTGACAGCAAAGTGCACCAAACTTAGTAACAACGCATTGTCAGGTATAAAGGAATTTGGCATGAACATACTTATACTGTGTAACACGTGCGTTTCGGCAAACCAACAAGAAAAGATAAAATCACTACTGGCAAAACCAGACCAAGTAAAGGAGGAGAAACTTGAAAAAATGGAAAATGAGATGAAAGAACTTAAGGAGACTTAAAGAGTCGGAAATTGAAAACATACTATCAAAACCAGCCAAACAACCAGAAATAAAACCAAATCAAAAGGAATCAAACTTAACCACATCGGACAAAAACAATAACAATAACCAGACATTAGGAATAAGGATAAGAGGAGTAAAAGAGAGCAATGACAAGGATCCTAGAAAGCGCCAAGAACACGACTTCTGCGAAGTACAAAAAATCCTGACTCCAATGGAGGTTGAATGTAAATTCAACGACTTGATTAGACTAGGCCAAAGAGGTAATGATCGTGACAGACCGATACTTCTCAAACTGCCAAATTTAAGGCTGAAACGGTTGATCTTATCATCAGCACGAAAACTGAAAAACTATGGAGCTCCAGTATTCATAAGCAAGGAACTTACAAACGAAGAAGCCGCGATAGAAACCGAATCTTTAAAGAAAAGAAGAGAACTTATAGATCAGGAGCAAAATAAGAAAGACTTTAGTGTAAGGGATGGCAAGCTCAACAAAAGAGATGGAAACCAATGTATAGTGATATCACCTAAATCTGAAACAACAGACAACAATTGACAAAGACAAAAAGCTAATCTACTACTCTATAATGTCATAAGCATCTTAGAATATTCTAGAAGAACTCTCTTCTCGAATGCCATCCAATCTAAAAACATGTACGATATTTGTCTAACAGAGACATGGTTAACTGAAAATGTGACGACAGGAGCAATATTTCTTGACAAATTTAACATCTATAGTAATGACAGGCAAAGCGTTAACGGCAAATCAAAACACGGAGGTGTTATAATTGGGATAAACCACGAAATACCTCACTACTGCATACCCTTAACTTTCAATGACTGCCTAATAGTCAAGCTCTTGATCAAAAACCCCGTCATTATAGCTTGCATATACTGTGCCCCCAAAGGAAACAAATACCGCTGGTCGTCAAAAACCCTATTGAGTTTTCTGTATTTTATTAGGAAAAACAAATAAAATTAAATGTAAGAAACGTGATGATTACTGGAGACATCAACTTTGCTCAAACAGACTGGTCGACCCTAATCTCCTCTGATGAAGACGAACAGGCCTTCCTGGACGCTCTTGCAGAATTTAACTTCGAACAAATGATAACGGGAAAAGAAAAAGTACAACTAGACGTTATACTCTGCAACCACCCAGATTTGTTAACTCTCGTGAAAAAAGACAATAGACTCACATCCTTGTTTAAAACGGATCATCCTCGTTACCATGCAAAACTCAACCTAATTTTAAAAATGATTACATCAGAGAAAAAGAATTAAATGACCGCAATGGCTTCCAGGGATTCTCATTCTCGAAAGCAAACTGGGACGAAATAAATCAATACATCAATGAAAACTCATTTAACCCATACTGCTACAGCAATGTTGATCTAATGAATGAACTGTGGTACACTTGGCTACTTTACATAATCGAAAAGCACATTTCCAGGAAAACAAAACATCGAAGTTCTCTGGCACCTTGGGTAACATCTGAAACATCAAATTCAAAATTAAGGATACAATGCGCAGAAAATGTGAAAACGTGACCGAACGTCAGTTAGACAAACTGAAAACATTTAATAAACACCTCGAGTTAAACTTAAGCGAAGACTAAAGAACATACGAAGAAAACTTATTTGTTGATGGTAACTTCTCAAAATTGCAAAAAATACTTTAAAAGTATTCGAAAAACAGATACAAGCCCAGGTGAAGTCTACCTGGATGATCAAAGAGCTACATCAAATACCGATATAACCAATTTGTTTAATTAATACTTTCAGTCAGTTTTTAGCCACTCCCTCTATGTGGGCGAGAATAACCCATCTCATGAATGTAAAATAGCGAATCACCATTTTACCACAACGGAAAACGAAAAAATCCTTGAAAACTTGGATATCAACAAAGCCAAAGGACCTGATAACCTAGAAAACACTCTTTTGAAAAAACTAAGCTGTTCTATCTCTAAATCTCTGTATCTACTTTTTAACACAATTGCTAATAAATGTGTTTTTCCGTCAACATGGAAAATAAGCGAAATTGATCCTATCTTCAAATCTCCCTCTTTGAAGATAGGATCAATTTCGCTTATTTTCCATGTTGACGGAAGAACACATTTATTAGCAATTGCATTTCCTTTCACATACATTTCCAAACAATTTGTCTCAAACTACCGACCAATAAGTTTGCTAACGGTTATCTCAAAGGTGTTAGAAAAATTTATTTTCGATAAAATGATTTCATCAGTAAAATTTAGCATCTCAAACTCACAACACGGCTTCCGACAAAAACGATCTACTGTTACAAACCTCATTGAGTATCTCCATGAGGTATATACTTACTATGATAATATCGAAGCAAATTACCTGGCTTGCCTCGACCTAGATTTCCAAAAGACATTCGACAAGGTGAACCACGCAATGATAATTGAAAAAATTAGGAGCTTTGGTTTCACAGACAATGTTTAAAGCTACTAAGAAATTATCTAACAGATAGAAAACAAACCGTTCGCATTGGACAATCAGTGTCCGAGCCATCACCAGTACACAGAGGTGTGCCTCAGGGGTCAATTCTCGGACCTTTGATGTTTATTCTCTATATTAATGACCTACCAGATTGTGCAATGTCAGCAAGTTTTGGCTACGCAGACGATTACAAAATTGTTTGCAATGACCCAATAATTTTAAATATCGATGCGAAGAGAATTTGGAA